TTTGGAGTTTGTTTATTAATAAAAAGTATTCTTTATGATGGATATGAATTTTTGCGAAAAAAAAAGTTTAAAAATACTCCTAAAAAGATTCAGTGTAATCGTATTTATATAGATGTATATTGAAACATTTAGAAATTCTCTTTTATTTGTTTATTAAGGTTCGTGTAGACGTAACGAGGTGAGGAATAGAATGCTTGTTAGAGAGTGCTTGTTGGGTATTGTATCACTCGGGAAAAAGTATTAAGAATTATTTAAATTAACTTTTTGGTGCTGCTTTCCTTTCTTTCTTTTAGTGTTCTTTCTACTGACTTAGAATTTTTTGAAGAAAAAAAGGATTTTCTTATTTTAAATTGGGAATTGTTGAGTTGTCACTGTTCGGCTGTGTTGATCAACTAGCTGTCAGTTTTTCTAAAATTTTTTCCAGGAAGTGGAGAGAAGGGGATAAATTAGACTATATTTTTAATTCTTTTTTTTTTGTTTATTTTGTTTCTTCATTGCGTAATTTTGCTGTTTCTTCTATTGTTTCTACAGTTGTTGACTTTTCAGAATTACAGCAAAATAAAAAAAAATAATATATTATTTTAAGCTTTATGTTGGTGCCTATTTTGGAGAATGTGAAAGATTCGGAGTCGATTTAGTAAAATTCTACTTTTTTCTCCTAGTTCTCTACCTCTTTTCGCTTGGTTTTATTTTGATAAGAATGGAACTACGAAAAAAAGTAGAAAGAGGAGTGTAGTAGACAGAGGAAGCAAGAAAGAAAGAGGAAAAAAACGAAAAAAGGGAAACGGAAGTGTGGAAAAAAATTGTAAAGTAGAGGAGCTAAACTTAATTTTTCTTTAACTTTGATTATCAATTTATTTCGGTCTTTATAGTTTTCTCTTTATTTCTCACTTTTTCTCTTGGTAAACTTCTGTTTTTGCTCAGTCCCTGTCACAGCTACAGTGTTAACGTTGAATGCACAGTGTTTAAAGATGCTGGTAGACCAGTAATCCTCGCTTTTGTGTCACTGAAATTTCAATTTATTTTTTCCTGATTCAGTGCCTCTTTTCTCTTAGTCTTGTTTTTGATAAAGTGAAACGGACCAATCAACCTGAACACTGTGAAGTAACTGATGGCATTCTGAACCAGTCATTTTGTGTTCTTTTTTTTTTTTTTTTGAAAATTCTGTTTACGGTTAAAGTTTAAAACGCTGAAGGTCCATGAAAGCAAAATTTGGCGTTCTCAGGGCTGCCTGCATTTACTTCTGATTCCACTTACCAGACAACATAAATTCATTTATCGTTTACGAGCTTCATTTATATCAAGTATTTTCTCACTTATCATGGCGAAAAAGAGTAACGTCTAAAAATTTGATTTTTGACACGTAAGGAATTTCTAGTTCTATCAGTTTCTCAAATTGTACTCAAAAATTAAAAATTGAATCTCAGAAAAAAAAGACAATAAGGAAGAAGTTTTTTAGGAGTGAAGTAGAGAGAAATTAAAGCAATAAAAGATGAATTTTTTCTTTAATGGGATAAAAAGAAACGTTTTTACATCACTGAATCTTTAGCATATTTGGATTTTCGAAGATTGGTACTGACGGGCTCTTGCAGTGTGACTGCTTTTACAAAAAATGAAAACTGCTCTACTGTAAGTGTTCTTCACCATACTTTTTTGTCTTCATTTAAAGTTTTGTTGAAGCAGTAGTTTTATAAAGTATTTTTTTCATACAAAATTTATTTCCTTATCTTCATTTTTTGTTCCCTCAACTGAAGTAACGTCAGCTTTTCAGTGGTGTCTTAGCGCTTGTTGCTGTAACTGCTGCAAAGGTAAAGCTAATTAAATTGTCGTTCTGAATTAAATCTGAACCTCATATTTCAAAATAAGATGAGATCGAATGTCGTGAAATTTTAGGTTCTGACAGATGCTGCTTTTGAAAACAGAGGAAAACCGTCAGTTTCAAAAAAACAACTTTTGTACATACAAATTCAAAAGAACGTGAAAATTCTGGCGATAGCAAAGAAAGAAAAAACCACACCACAGGAGAGAGAAATAACGCTATTTAGAAATAAGGTAGAAATCTCATTATGCTTTTTGTTGACAGTCATAAAAAAATATTTGTTTAGCTAAACTCGGCTAAAACGACGAAATTTATTATTGAAATTTTTTTGTTAATGACGAGTCCTTTTTAATTTCTGACTTTCAGATCTATATTTCTTTTTAAAAGTAAATAATCACTTCTTCAATGGCGATGATGATCTCAGTTAAAATCACTTGTAAAGTGCTTAATTCTCACAGTTATTTAGAATATTTAAAAAACTGTTCAGTCAACCTGAATAACTGATGTGAACCCAATCATAATTTTGCTTTTTTTTGATCTTATTAGATCAATTAAATAATTGCAGCGAATAGGAAAAAATGCAAATACAATTCTACAGCGTTCGGAATTTGTTGAAGGAGCATTTCATCCCCGAACATCCTTTCGAAGGGTCCAAATCAAGCGGCCTATTGTAAAAAGCTGTGTAATACCACTAATCAGAGTAAAAAGAAGAAACCCTTTCAAAGAACAGACTTTGGTGAAGACTCTTGAAAGAGGATTGAAAAATGCTTATAATGACATTTTCAAAGATGTTGGTTTGAGAAACGCGGCGGGAGACTCTGGCAGAATCGTTCATGAAACTAAAAATAGATTATCCAGAGAACTTATGGCAGTCTCTCCTAAAAACACTATTTTTGGCCGGGACATACGTCACCTACTTGGAGGTCCTGGTTCTATTTCGAAGTTTCCTAGACAACCTCTTAGAAGCAGACCCGTACCCTTATTCTTCTATAATACAGAACCAATGCGACCGCCATTTCCGATTAATCCAACAGGGCGACTCGCCCTATTCCGCTCTTCTAGAGCACAAAAAGTCAAAAAATACTCGTGCAGCAGTTTAAAAGAACACAGTAGAAGGTCTATGTCAAGAATAAGATATCCGACGCGGCACAACTATAGAGGCATGTTTAACAGAGCATCACGTTCTGCGCCGCACGCAACATTACTAAACGGGGTAATCTTACGCACAACGAAACCAGGTCTTCTGCGACTTAATGGTTTCATGGGTATCCTCTACACTGGCTCCCTCAAGTCAGCCAATCGCTTTGGTGTCGGCAACCGTATGTTTCCAAGGCCGTATAATATGGCAACGCAAGAAGCCGCAACGCCATTTTCACAGCCCTATTACACTGGACGTACCTCACCTTACAAGTCGCCGTACTACAATACCTTTAATAGCCCATCACGTATACCTGATTTACTTCTCAACCCACCTTATCAGTCACCATTATTGTATAGATATCTACCGATGCAGCGTTCACTTTACGACCTATTGCCTTACAGTCAGCCAATAAACTCACCATTCATGGGGAACGATTATAATTTCCCAAGTAGATTTCAAAATTCCTACGGTTTACTCCAGCCAAGTCCCTTTAATGCAGGTTTTCTACATAACAAGTTCATGCAGCAGAGTGGATTTGGATATCCAAATAAGTTTGGTGCGTCACCATTTGGTTACAGATGATCTTATCAATCAACATTATTAATAAAACATTCCTCAGTTTTGTTTGCTAATCACGTTTCATTCATTTTTCAATCCAATTCTGCATATTTGGCATCATTTTAGGCATTACTACACATAATTACTGTGACTTAAACACGCTCTGCGTTAAACACTTCTTATTTATCACATATAAGTGCGGCTGTATATGACAAGAATCCTTATGTATATCTCGTTACTTTGACGCAAATAAAGTACCATTTCAGACGTTTTACACTTTTATCTATTGAAATTTATGAAAATGTCATCCTTTAGTGACAAAATGTCCGTATTTTTAAAAAGTTGAGTAAATGACAAAATGTTCGTATTTTTAAAAAGTTGAGTAACTTTACAAGTTTTTATTGTTCTGTCGCACCTAACTTTATTTATCTATTTGTAACACTTCAGGAGCAAACGCTTGCTGACAGATCTGACCTGTATATGGTCAAAAATAAGAACTTTACTATTTTTTGACAGTTGACTCAGCTATCAAATAAAGTTTCTGGCTGAAATTTACCAGCAAAAGTAGATCAATAAACGCGAAACAGAGTAAAGATGTCAAATAGATTCTGAGGTGTAAAAACTTTTAAACTTAGATTACTGAAAATTAGATAGCAATGAATCGTGTGAAAGACGAATTTGCATCTTCAGCGCTTATAAAGTTAGAAATGAAATGAAGCAATCCAAAGCATAAATAAATTGATCACTTCAACACCAGTGTCAAAAACAGTTCTGCAAATTTCAAAATATCTTTTTAGATCAACAGAAGTGTTTTGTGCAGCTTAATCAAAACGTCTGCCATAGATACCATATAACTGTTTTCCAAAATGTTTGGCCTATTATATTCATCTAAAAAAGTAAGTGTCAAGTGAAAAAAGCAGCACTGCTCCCTATTCAATTCCGTGACTTTACTATATTTGCAGCATTTATCTTCTACTTAGTATCTATTTAAAGGTTGATTTTTTAAAATATTGTCTACCTTTAATTTTTTTTGAACTGACGCAAAAAATTTCACCATTGCTTTATAGCGAATGATTTCAGACACAGTTATACTGAAGTTTTCTAAAAGTATGCCAATATGACTGAAAACATGAAAAAGAATTCTAAATAAGTGTTTACGCTCAAACTTCTTTTATAGTTTGCAGTTTGGCCGGCAAAATGGTAATGCCAATTTAATGTCACTGTAAATTGCAAATCATAGGTTGTAAAAACAAGTCAGGAATTTTAAGTTATAGCCATCAAAAAATGAGTAAAGCCTAAAAGAAGACGGAAAACACAAAAAAATCGTATGCACACGAAATGCTGAATTCACAAATCTGATATCAACTTAGTGTAATAGATCAGGTTTATTAAAACGAAGCACACTTTAAAAATTATGAAACTATTGAAATAAAACTGTAAATAATATATGTAAACTGAGCTAATTATATTTAAACATTTTTTAAAATTCTGTTTCAAAGATCAACCAAAAAATAAATAATTAAATACTTGACTTCAAGTAAATTTTTACAAAATGTTTTGCGAATAATTTGATCTCCAGATTTTCAGAGTAAATGTACCATCATTTACAACGCAAAAAACTGCCCCACTGTATTGGCTGACACTCATTTTGCTGTAAAAAAAAAAAAACGATTGCAACTGACTACCTAAATTTTTGAAAGTTCGTATGTTCCAGAAACATTGAAAAAATGACTACAAGTTTCTAACTGTTTCTTTTACCTAATTAAATAATACAGTTTGTTTGTATTTATATTTTGCTTCACTTATTTAATAGAAAGTTTGCTATCAAAATAGAACTTTTGTAAATGGACATCTACTACTGCATTATTTGCATAAAAGCGTTAATCTAGCGTCTAACAGTAAATAAAAAGAAACAAGAAATGCGAAAGTAGACAACAAGAATATCTGTAACTTTTCTTGAGTATTAATCTAAAGAATCTCAACGTAGCTTTTTGCTGCTTTTTTTTGCTGAACTAAACTCGTAAAATTACCAAAAAAGTGCCCATGACTCATCATTTCTAATTTGCACTCACAACATTCTTTCAGCATCTTCAACATAACAGTTACAACAAAGCTTCAATGTAAAGTTCCAGGCCTGCTATGCGATCGACCAATTTTTGATGTGTAAACTGGATTCGAAATAATACTCCTCTCCTATTACTGCTCTTTGTCTGCAAGAGTCATACCACCAGTGCAGTGTAGACATATGCTCATAACAGAAACGCAAAATAATTCTGAAATAGCTTCTAGTTTTCAGTATGAAACATTTAAATCTGGTAAAAAAAACTGTGCTTCAGTGCGTTTATTTTTACTTCCTTGCTTTATTCAATTAAAAAACGATTACTAAAATAAGCAAACAAGTTTTCGCTTTAAAAGCGGCTACAGAAATTCATTCCTGACACATTCGCTTTATTCTATTGTTCCAGCATCTGTACAGCTGCAGGATGCTTTATCAAAGCTTCCTTCCAAAACGTGTTGTTTTTCAGCAAATTCTTTCAAATGCTTTACCACTAACTATGCCTTTTGAAGTAACAGCTTTTGTAACAATAAGTAGTCCTGTACTGAAATTGTTCATTTCCAACTTTGTTTTGACTTTAGAACTCAAATTTTACCATCTTCGGTTCAGTCATTGTTGTACCTTGTACAGTTTGCTTTCCACCAAAATTTTCAATTTTCCAAATGTTTCTAAAAGCTGACAAACCAAACTAATCCTCTCACTAAACAAAAAATGCAGTTAATTATGCCTGTGATAATATAGATTCTTAAAACAACCTGCGACTAAAAAGCTTTTTAGGAGAGAAAAGTTGGTACAACGCACTGCGCATTTGTTGCAAGGCCGCTTACGGTAAGTTTCGTTCTA